TGTAATGATGATGAATAGTCAATCTAATCCTCCAAAAGATTCACGACCACAACTTTTTTCATCGAATTGTTCTATTCTATGTGGAACAAGTGGTTATTCTTATAGACGGTTAGTTCATATTTATACTTTATTTTATTCTATTTTCCGTATTTAGTTGGCATACAGGACCTACGAATCAAAATTATTATCCAGATAAAAATGAATTTGATTATTATTCTACTGTAATGACATTTTGTTTCATAAAGATTTTTATTTAATAAACAATTTTTACTCATATAGGAATTTAATACAGTTGAAGTAAATTCAACATTCTATAATATTCCACCGGAATCAACTTTCAAAGGTTGGGCTAAAAAAGCTCCTCGACCATCGTTTCTTTATACTGTCAAAGCCAATAAGTAAGAAAACAGAATTTATTTATGCTCGAATTTATTTATTATTTAGATTTTTTACTCATATGAAAAAATTAAATATCGATGAAATGTGGATTGAACGATGGGAAGTAAGAAAAATTCTTTATTAAAATATGAATTTATGATTATTTTCAAATAAAAGACATTCTGGAATAAATGTAAATTACTTCAATCACATCTTGGACCTGTTCTTTTTCAATTTCCACCAAGTTTTAAAAATACGTCAACAACAATATCTCGTTTTGATGATTTAGCAAAAGTTTTACCGCAAGATGGTAAATTTGCTTTTGAATTTCGAGATAGATCATGGTTTTGTGATGAAGTATATCTTATTATGAAAAAATATAAGTAAAACAAATCTTTTTGCTTTTTTCGTACGTATTTATTTTTATTGTAGTTGGTGTTTATGTGTTATTCATTGTGAAAATTCAAAAGATTGGTGTGGTAATATGCCAAACGGGACACTTCCAGTAGACATAGACGATCATAAAACATGTGACTGGGGTGTTTATTATCGTAAGTTTGAATATTATTATTAGGAGTATTTGAAATAATTAAATATTCTATAAGGTTTTCATGGTTCAACAGGTCAATATAGTGGCGTATATGGAGAAAAACGTATGCGTCAATTAGCTGAAAATATAACAAATCATTTTCTTAAACAAACAACTAATAATTCTCTTCAATTTTTCTTCTATTTCAATAATACAGATAGTCATTCACCACCAGCTGCTATACAAGATTGTCGATATCTTGCTCAAGCATTCAAAGATCTTAAAATCATGGCTGAATAAACGAACTCTTTTTTGTTGTTGTCGTCATAGTCTTGTATATAATTTCTAAATATAATCATTTCAGCTTTGAAAGTGTTGTTTCACAATCAAATTCATTTATTTACAAATTTCAAATAAACTATATTAAATATCGATTAATATTTCTAATAACAACGAAACAAACAAAATCAATAAAAGAACAAATGAGATTTTCTAAAGCATTGGTTTTGCAAGAATTTCTAGCCAAAATTAGTTTCCTGTTGATAATATTCCTTTTGGACCAAATAAGCGTTGATAACAATCTATTAAAAATATATATATAGCCTTATATGAAAACAAATATAATTATCATATTTAC